TACCGAACGGCTTCGTCATTTTGATTTAAGTTTAGCCCAGCTAGATTTAACCGGTCCTTCTAGTGGAAGATCAAATCTGAACTTCGAGAACGCATTAATGAAAGTTCGCGATGTGTTCTTCTGGGACAATACGGTCGCTGTCATTCACGTCCAGTGTAGACGCAGTTCGTACCAAAGCGTTAGCGGCGCGCATGCGCAGCAGGGGTGTCTTCGACGCCGCGAACAGCCCTAGACGCGTCGATTGGACTGGTGCGACAAAAAGCCCGGCGTCGTCATCGCGAGACTCCAATCGGCACGGCCCGGAAACTTGGGGGGTGAAAATAGGCGATCTACGAAAACTCCGCGCTGTCTCACCTAGCTCCAGGGAAACCGCAGTGAGATTCATCCGAACCGTCGGGTATTGTACCACGCGCCGTTTATTGTCCCATTGCCGCGTCGGCAGCCCCGTAACTTATTACGTAATGGCTTCCAAAGCCGTGACGTAGCACATCCTCATGTCTTAATTATGGATGCGTGATGATGAATGAGCGGAACGTCACAGCGGCACCGATAACGTCCCACTCGGTTTTCTTCCATATTTTAGTTTTCTTCCTCGCTCGGGCGGATTATGTGGCTTCCCGTCTTTTTTTTTTTTTTTTTCCTTCTTATTCTTTTTTATACGTGTCGTGGGTTAGTTGGATCTCTCTGGGGGGTACTCCATTTCGTTCCGGGTTGGTTTTTACGATAATTTGTTTTTCACCTTTTTTTTCTTTCTTGGTTTTAATAACGATGCGTGTCGATGTCTCCGGCAGATCGTTTTTTCTTTTTTTCCCGTTCCCCGTGCGGGGGCGCCGCTATCGGCCGCTTCAGCTCCACGAGGGTTTTTCCCGGTGTGTAGAATACGTTCTCCAAGTTCATCCGTACGGCAGTAATTTTCAGCTGGGACAAATTGCGGTAATGAGTTCGCGACGAGATGGTTTGCGCGCAAAAGGCAAAGGAGCCCTTCCTTCCCTCCCTCTTCTTTTCCCTCCCTTTCTTCCTGCCCCCTCCCCCCTCCCTTTATTTTGTGTGGTTGTTCTGGTTTTCCCTTAATCATTTACAAAGACGAGACGAAATACGTTACCTAAAAGTCAAATAAATTATTTAAAAAAAAATTGCATCACATAACTGATGGAAAACGTGCGTAAGAAATTTTCTGCTGCGGAGGACTACATGCAGCGTCCTATAAGAAACTGGAAAACCATTTTTTATAGGATTTCATTATTTTTTGGTGTGTGTTCATGCGTGTTGGGGGAGTGGGAAAGAATTTTTTTTTCTTGGCTGCTAGGATAGGTGTGTCTGCATCAAATAATAACGCATATATCATGGTATTTATGCTCCTGTGGCGTATAAAAGTTCGAATGAGTTACCTGGTATTCCGTCCTAGCGGTACATATACGCGAGTATACATTTTTCTTAAATTTTCCTTTACGCGTGGTATTGTTTTTTTTTTTTTTTTAATTTTACGTATAAACGTGTATTATGGGGCTTAGAACACACGTAGCTACGATATGGGAGGTGTTTTAAAAACACTAAAGTGCGATTCTTTTTTACAGCCGAGAATAGAACGCTGTTTGTTGAATGCGCGGAGATACGCTTAGTCAATATATGAGTTGCATCGAAAAGCTATATGATTTTGGACAGCTACCGCGTTGATTTTGACGTACTGCTTACAAAAAGAATGAAGGAGCTCAGCGTTTGAAAGACGGTTAACGATCGTTCTAGATTCGCAAAAATCGGTGAAAAAAAAAAAAAACATAAATAAAATGTTGTCCGGGAGCACTGTTTCCTGAATAGTTCGAGTAGCGTACTGATCGAATATCGTAGCTATTCGAACCCGTCAGGTTTTCTCTAAGAAAACGCGGTCCGATTTACGAAGGCGGGATCTACTCGAAGGGCTGCGCTATTAGAGCTGTACTCGGTTTCACCTCACAATGGAGCACAGCGGATGCTACGAGCCACCCTAGCCAATCTAGCTATGTAAAGGTATGACGTGGCTGCCCGTCGCTGTGCCCCTTCCGACGCTCACGTGACACTTACCCGGCAGTGGATAGGCTTCGATGGCTCTTGGCGTCTTCTGCAGTACGTCCTTACGTGAAACAGACTGTAGGGTTGCGTGTTTTCGGTGTACTCTACCATTGAACCCCGAAATGTAACCCCGGACCAGGTTTTTTTTTTTTTTTTTCAATATCGGGGGAAAACCGGTTAACACCGAATTAAAATTTTTCTTAACTAAAAAAAAAAAAAAAAAACACCCCAAAATTCATTAAAAAAATCCTGCATTTTTTTTTTTTTTTTTTGCGTTTACACGAAACACGGCTCGTACTGAACTGTCGGCGAGGCCTCTTTCTTCGGGAACCACATCGAATTGAGAGTTTAGTAGATCGTTCTGTTAACTCCCACAGCGATACCTGATAGTCCCCCGTTGCGCATGCAGCGTATCGTAATCGGAGGTATGGAAACGGTCTACCAAAAATTCCCTATTGGGGAGTTTTAGTAGATTTCTCCGGTAACTACGATAACGATTTCCGATTACGATAGCATTCATGCGCGAGGCTGCCGGCTGCGTATCGGACATCATTATCGGAGTTATCGGAGAGATCTACTAAAAACTCCTTATTAAGGAGTTATATGGAACCGTTTTTGCACATCCGATACCGTACGATGGGCCCTCCGCTACGAACTGCGCATGCGCTACCACAGAAGACTCGCGCATGCGCAGTGCGGACCGGAGGGCCCACCGTACCGTATCGGATGTGCAAAATCGGTTCCCTAAAGCTCTCTAATGTCCCGTTTCCCTCTCATAACGGCACCTAGACGTTTTGCAAGTACTAGAGTGTAGCGCATCTGCTCTAAAAGTTGGGGAAGTTCCTATGCCGTGTTTCGTTTTATTCAGCATAAGCCCCGAGAAACGCCGATATTTATTTTTTCCGACACCGGAAATGGACCTAGAAACACATAGACTTTGGGGGGGAAATGCACCACCCAAAACGCTTACGAATATGAATAAAAAAAAAAAAAAAAAAGACGCCGAAAGCACAGAATCTTATTTATAGCTAACGCAATTTCCGCGAATGGTCTTCGATTATGCGTATCGTTGATATGACGTCGTGTAAACCTGTACCGTAATTTCCGGACTATATAGTCCGTGGACCACGCATGTCTAGAAGTTAAAATATTATGCGGTTCGGACTCTCCATAGGTGCGGAATATATAAGAAATAGTTTTTTTTAAAAGATTCGTTTTCATGAGGCGTTATGGATTTTGTGAATGACAGATGATGTTAGTGATGATTTCTGATGATACAAGCTTTTTGTTCGCTACTGAAGCAGACGTTTCTCAAGGCGTGCTTTCTATGATCATATTTTTGACGTGCTGACTATGCATCAGGTCTATGCACTGTGTGCGGACTAGGGTGCCTCAATGTCTTTCTGCTTAGGGTGATGCCATTCGCTGTATCACACGGTGCCGAGAGCAGGCGCTCGCACAGTGAAAATACGAAGAGATTGCCGAAAACAGACTGCCGCCATAGTACTGCCAGTGCCAAGAGCTCGTGCAGGAAGGCGCTCTTTCATGGGTTCCGGAACGAAAAAGAAACAAAAGCGCCGGAAACAAAGTGGTCAGATGTCATCGTAACCAAAACAGACAAAGGAGCCCTAGTGCGGACAATCTATTGAAAATTTCTTTTTCACTCCAAATTTGCTTTTTTTTTTTTCAGATTATACTCCGGGTGCGGAACCTTTCTTCAAGGGCGCCGCCATTTTGAATTGTCGTCACTTCCAGTATGGGCGAAAACATTGTTTTGCCGTCGCCACGCCAGCAGAAGACACTTAGAATATGAACGTAACCGTCACACATTATCGTTTTGTTTCCCCCTTATTTTTTTACTAGTTACAGGTTGAAACGTTTTAGTATTTCTTCGTCGCCCATACCGGATACGCCTATTAGGTGGCTGGAGACGAGAGTACGCAGAAAAGCTCTATAGACGGGATACTACAGTTCTATTTGTCGATAAAGAAGCATTTGCGTTCCCATAGAAAACCATCTCTTTCGCGACGATTCGCCAGGTCTTGCTTCTCTTTTGTCTCGGCGGTGCCCGAATAAGTTCCTATTTTCCCGTCATGCGACAGGAAAAAAAAAAGAAATAGAAAGAAAGAGAAAAAAAAAAAAAACACGACCGAATGACCACACTGTTTAGTTAGTCTTGACCAATGTCCCCGCATGTATACTAACGTGGCTAGTGAACCTGGTATGATGTTAAACAAGACGGAGGGTAGTCTCTATTGAGACACCGTCTGTCTTGCTTTTTTCTGTGTGTTCTCGATCTGCGAAGGTTCGTCTGAAGTTGACTAATCATTTTGTATCAAGAAGGCCGACCCGTCAACCAACATTACATGTCCAAATAACAGCAAAAAGAGCTCGCGAACGCCAACAGTGCTCAACAAAAAAATTTTTTTTTTCTTTCAGCATGCTTGCTTATCGTTGTTGGTAATGCTCAAGCGATCTTGAGGCTGCTAACGACCTATCTATGACATGTCGGGAACTGATGTTTGTTGTTTGTCCATCGGTGTGATTAGGCCACAACCGTCCTGACAAGCACCACCCGAGACTCGCACACGAACTGTGCCTACCGATCCCGTTCCGCTTCGCCTGTATACGATGCACCGCAGCGAATGCTACAAGCCGTCCGAACCAATCTAGCTCCGTGTCACCTGACTGCGCTCTTCCCACATCTTCCCGAAAGGCAGTTGACACTCACACGCCATTGGATTGGCTCGGTTTAGTCGTGGTGTTCGCTTGAGTCCATCGTAAGGTGAAAAGGAGGATACCTTTTGATTGACCTTCGCCCGCGGACTTTCGCTCGGTACTTCAGCTTTACCGACAACTTGTGTGGGCAGCGGCGACTCGCGTACTTGCTTTGCTGTCTTGCGGCGAGCGCGTAGTGGCAGTCCGTGACGTGTTTGTCTTCTTTCTTTTGACAGATGCCGGTGAGGGCGGAGGACGCTAGCGCGCGAGGCCGAGCGTCATCATGAGGCCAAGGTAAGGCGTTCGGAAGGGCTTGGCACGGCGCCCGGCTTTTGTTCCGCCGCGTTTCTTTCTGCGAAGCAAAATGGTGCCCCTCGTTCTGACTTTTAGAGGTGACAGCTCGATTCGCCGTCGGGACACTTTACCGTTCAAGGCAGTGCGGATGCAGATTTGTACGGTACGCGTTACGAGTAATTGAAGTACTCGTAATGAGTTACTTTTGGGAGTAATTTCGTTTTCATCTGATTACATTTATTAGAAAGTAATCGCAGCTGTAATCTGAGGACTTTTGGAAATACTAAAATTACTCGCAACCGTTTTTTTTTTTTTCTCCCGTTTTTGAAGGTACCCTTTGTTTGTACGAGTTTCTTACGAAGAAATCGTTGGGCCAAGTCCCCAACAGGAGAATGATTTACAAAAACTGGTAGATTAAGAAGTTAAGCTGCTCGTAAATCGGTGAATCTAATTCGATAATGGAAAGTACAAAAATACGCAATTTCAAAATGGCAGAAAACTCGGTCGTTTGGAACTAATCGGGGAAAGTAGCGGTTACTTTTTCAGGTAATGGCCAGTTACTTTTCGCCTCGAGTCATTGAGCAATCTAATTGAAAACTTTTTAAGCAAGAGAATTTCAATTGATTTTTTTTTTTTTCGAGTAACGCGTAAAAGACAAAAGTGTGAATGCTCGCGGCATTGAGCAATCTAATTAAACACTTTTTAAGCAAGAGTAATTGGAATTTCAATTGATTTTTTTTTCGAGTAACGCGTAGAAGACAGAAGTGTTAATGCTCGCGGATTAACTGCCAGAACCGCCAAAATAGTTGATTTGCACGTGAGCATGTATAGCGAGCAATTACGGAAATTAACGTATAGGGAGGGGTCTAGCAGGTGACAGGAACGGATCGGTCTCGGCTATGTATATTTCCTGCGTGGAAACGGTTGTCTTTGTTTTGCAAAAACGCCTTTGGCGCCGTCGTTACTTTAATGTTGGTGCGCACTTCCAATTACTCGTAAAACCATTGAGTGACATATATACCTCAGCATGTCGCCTTTCGAACCACCGTCCGCATATGCGGACGCAGGTGAACAAACCGTACTCGATCGAATGAATCAATGTTTTGACGAAACCGCCGAAAGCCAAAATGAACAGCGGATCCAGGACTTGAACTCTGGGCCTCCCATTGTCCGGTCGGGCGTGCTAACTACTTCACCACTCCACCTTGACTGCCTGCCATTTCTTATCCGTCTTCATAATGCACAAGAAACGAAACGTGTCCAATTCGAGGGGTTCTGGAAGCACACGCCGCCGCGTGGAACGCGGTATGACGCTTGCTGGCACGGTGTACGTGCTCGATGTTTTCCAGAAATCCTCTCCCTGCTTATCTCATCACGTACATATATTGCTTTTGTTTATGAGCGTTAGAGACACGGTATCATCATCATCATCCGCGAAAATCAAGAGCCACGTTTGAAAACGTTTAGCGGGCCCTTTTCGTCATCGTACGCGGTCTCCGAGGAGGAAATAATCGGCAGCCAATGAGATTGGGGCTTTAACCGATATGAACTCCGAAGAACCAATCACAGAGGAAGACGCGCAAACATAAGTAGCCAGGATACCGTTTTCTGAAGCTATCAGTGACCATGCGGAGCGCAAGTTCGCCTTCTGTTTTGCGTAGGGGTTGCGCTGACGTCAGAACGTCAATCTCTGATTGGCTCGGATTGGAAGGACGGTGGGTAGATAGATCTGAAGGCAGCTAGCATTGAGGTCTACGCGCTATTCTTCTCGTCTGAGCCAATCAGAGATCGGCGTTTTGACGTCGCCGCTATCCCTGCTCGAGAAGCGGACGAAACCGGCACTCCGTCAGGCGCTCTAGCGTCTCTTGGCCTGTTTTAAAAGTGCCTGCAACTTATTGCTCGTTTATTATATCTATTTCACAACATATCTGGATGATTTGGCAAGTGAAGGTCCTAGCCGGTGGCACTCAACAGCGCAGAAGACGCGTCATCGCTTTGAAACAGATAAAGGAAAATGAGAACACCGACGAAGCATTAAGGTAGAGAGGTGGGCTTGTTGGTACATCTCAGGTATTCTGAAAGAGTTATGGAACAAGGCCCGTAAAAAGAAGACATAGCGCACTGTATGCCTTCTTTCGTTCTTCTGTATACCCTGGGGCTTTCAGTAATGACGCATACTTTTCTTCTCTCGTTCCATCATCATTCGCAATTCGTCGGCAGATCTCAGACATCGGCCTTTTTGCTCCCTTGCGAATAATCGTCTGGCTCAGTGATCGTAAAGACCTAGAATGATCAGTCCACGTACCCTTTTATGAAACGCGCCTGAGAGAAAGAGATATGTATAGATATAGAGTTGGAGCTTCTCTTATAATGTTGCCTCCGCACAGCTGTGCGTATGAAGTCAGCTATCTCCTCGGGGCTGTCTTTCTTTGAGTCAGTCGGTTGCGTAAGATCTTTTTTTTTTCCTCCCGACGACTTCTTGCGTAAAGGAGATCCGTGGGACACCCGCGCTGCCTCTCAAAGAGGCCTTGGCAACTCATGAGGGCCATGCGGGTCTACGTGGGAGTGAATAGCAGACACAACAGCGTCCTCGAATAAGCCGTGTACGACATACCTGATGGATTGCTTTGTAGTTGAGGCTCAGTCCTGTGTGCGTGTCGTGAGAGGAAGACAAGGTGGTTAACGTCAGCTGCCGTGAACGGACATCTCGGGCTAGCAGCCCTTCGCTTTGTCGGGTGTTCTATCTTTGGGTGCGGCGGCAGTCGCTTTACGTAACCACTGTACTCCGGTGGTCATCCCTAAGCGGACAGTGCGGTGGAAGCTACGAGCCTCCTGGACAGGCTATACGTGTGTCTTTAACCACGTGATCATGCTCCCGGCCACTCACGTGCAGAGAGTGGGCTCAGGTTATGAAGGGGAGGCGGCTGATTGGTCCGGCGAACGCCTAGGTCCTTCCACACTGTCAGCAGGGGTGAACGGAGTAAGTTGTTTCCACCGTATTCATCAACTGGTTTCACTCCCGATGCGCGTTCATGTGGATGGCGAAACTATAAAGGTTCTTGCATTGTATCGTGACCCGAACGGTGCACAAGGAGGGACCATATTACTTGTATATATATAAGCGGAGCTCATATTAAGGTGAGTCTGTCTTTGACAGATTGAGGATGCCCTTGGAAGACCAACCGACATTTCGGTGTAATGGATGAAATCACACATCTCTAGCGCTCCGTGGGATGCCTTTCGCGCCTCTCTTTTTCGCAATGCATCCTGGTCGTATTTCCACAATCTGTGGGACGTAAGTTCGCTCGGACGAGGCGCGTTTCCAAATTTGGCAACACCGCTCTTCGCCGGTGAACAAAGGTGGGGGACAGTTCGGAGCGTTCAAGGAGAAGGAGAGTTTGCACTGACGCGACGCATTTTACAACCGCCGTTAGGCGGCGCAGCTAGATCGCGACGGTGTAACGTCGTGCCGCAATGTTACGACTGTGTGCCGTCATCGAGAAGGAGAAACGTTATGGATTTCTTTGTAATGTGCTTTGCTTCTGGGTTTTTTTTTTTTTTTTTTTTTGTCATTCTCTAACGCGGGAATGTTCGTAGGGAAGGCGCGTCTCTTTGCGGAACGGAGACTGTTTTTATTTGCAGCGTCAATCTCGGGTTCGTTTTTTCTTGTCTTTTTTTTTTTTTTTCTACCTAAAGCTGGCCAGGTTGGCTGCAAATGCTCCAGCTGTGGCCCGTTTTCCTCTCTCTCTTTCTTTTTACGAGATGGATGCTTTGTTTTGCCCGGCATTCTCGTGGCCGCTAAAGGAACGTGCCAACTTCTTGTGCCAGCCGCCTTCGACGGAAGAATTCTCAAACAAGCCTCCTCCCCTGGAATCCGGAAATCCAGAAACCGCCTGTCGCCGCGCGCCTTCTTCCTTTGGAAATCCGGAGATTCTTGCGTGTTTTTCTTGTGTGTGTTTTTACTTTTTGTTTTTTTGCGATTTACTAAGTTTCTTGTTTATTTTTCTTCAGTTCTCTAAAAGGAATTGTACGAGACCCTCACGGGTTCCAACAATAGTTTCTCAGAACGGGCTTCGTAGTATTCCCTTTCGTTCGGGATGTGATTTCGATTTAATACCCGGTTTCTCTTTTTTTTTTCTTTTTTGGTTTTTGTGCGCTTTACCTGAAGTAATAATAGCTACTCTTGTTATTAGTGTACTGCGGCGTCCCCTTTTTTACACTTCTTTTTCTGAAAATTTCAATGGGAAAATAGGGCGCATTTTTCGCCCGTTTTCGGTTTCTGGCGCCGTAGAGTTCCATGTATTCGAGAGCTCCGTCGGTCACCATTTTCCCACTGAAATTTTCAGAAAATCACTTTTAACTTTTGAAGAAAATATCTCGGTTCGTGCTGAAACTTTGGCATCTGGTGGTGACCTCTAGCGCTGCCTTTGGGCGGAGAATAAGAGTTCGGCAATGCCCAGTTTATGTTTGCCTAAAAAAAACTGTAAACGATGCGTCTCGAACGAATTCGTGATTTACAGCGCGCGTCCCTGGTTTTGAGAGTGTACGTCAGTGTTGCCCGACTGCGCTGGACTGTGAATTTTCTCGTCACTGGGCTGTGGAGCCTGCGTAAGGCGCAATTCCGGACGCAGCTAAATTGCCGCGTTTTATTTTTCGTTCTCTGCTGTATGGCGAATAGAATTTCTCGAGGTTTTTAAAGAAAGCATCGTTGTATTCTTAGAACAAAGACAAACAAATGAAAGCTATTTTGGTAAGTCCGCGCGCGACAGAATAGATGCAACTGGAATGTTTCGTTTTATGGTGATTTTCTTACGACATCATACGGCGTGTCGTTCTACAAAGGTCTTAACTGTCGAAAATATTTGACAACTCACGAGAGCCGAAATGGATGGGTATTCCCAACATGAAAATCAACGGGTCTCATCAATCGAACAACATATTGTACGTACCCCATAGTCCGGCGTTATCTGAACAGGATTTTTTTTTTTTTTTTTTGAGAA